GTATTAACATTGAATTAATATTACAATTTTATTTGATATCGTAACTACATCATAATAATATCATATTAATATCGAATTAATATTACAAAAAATGTTTTACATTTATTTAATATCGTAACTACATCGTAATGATATTATATTAGCACTGAATTAACATCACAAAAATATTTTTATTGTAATATATGTTTATTATTTATTACACATTAATAATAATAATTTTTTATTAGTGGATTATTATGGGTGAGTGGCATGGAGTACATTTCTTTTCTTCCTTTTTTTTTATTCTTTTCTTCTCTTTTTTATTCTTTTCTTTTCATATGTGAGTAGATGGATACGTCATTTTCAATTTTAAAATATATATATATATAAAAAAAACAATCATGATTAATAAAATGTATTTGTAAAATATATTTAAAATTTAATAGTACATAACCTTGGGATAATAGTTAGAGCAGGTAATTCTGGGATTTTGTAAAGAATAATAAAAATGATAATATTTTTAAGTTAGTTCTTTCTTTAAATTTTTTTGAGTGTTTTGTTTCTTAAAATCATAATATTGTAAAAAAATGCTGGTTGCTACGACTGACGGACAATGACAAATTGTCAGGCTACCCCGGACAAAGTAATTGAAAGGCGGAAAATGCCATAAATATCCAGCCCTATTTTACAACATTTTCTTCCAGGCTAAAGCAAATATTACAAAAGAAATTGCAAATATATTTAACAAGCAATAGATATATGGCCATTGAAAAATATATTCACACTTCATATTGTAATACCACAGTTTAACAAAGAAATTGCAAATATATTTAACAAGCAATAGATACATGGCCGTTGAAAAATATATTCACATTTATACCACAGTCTAACAAAAAAATACTCAAACCACAACATATTGTAAAAAAAATATGAAAAATACGCATATATCCTATTTTCATACCTTGCTTAACAGCTTCACTATTTATTTAAAAAATGGCTTTTTTCTCTTTTGTATGTGGTTAGGTGGGTACATTTTTCCTTTCTTTTATTCTTTTCTTTTGTATGTGAGTGGTGGGTACATTTTCTGTTCTTTATTCTTTTTTTATTCTTGCTTTTCGTATGTAGATGTTTTACTATGTTGAATATGGGGTCTTCACAAAAAACATGATTGAGATTGAGATTGAAATTTAGTATAGAATTTCAATCTTACTAATATATTAAGATTGAAAATTCTATATGAAATCTCAATCTCAATCTCAATCACGTTTTTTGTGAAGACCCCTTATATAAACTAAAGTGTCCCAAAGTATTGTTAATATTGTAAAAAGATAATTAAAGTATACTTTAAAAAGAAAAAAGAAGAGACGAACTAAAATACCGTAAAGTATTAATATAAAAGACAAGAGAAAAGCGTATTTTTGAAAATAAACAAAAAAAATCTCATTAATAAACGTGAATTTTAGCTATTTTTAGATATCACATGCATGTAATTAAAGTGATTTTAATTGGTTAATTTTAATTTATTATTACATCATGCATATGATTTTATTGGTTAATTTTAACCAAAATTTTATACGATACAAATTAAATAATTATTTTATTATATTTATATAATTAATATAATTATATGGCTGTAAAATAAAAATTATTTTTTATCCAAATTCTATTTGTAGTATCATGATTTGGTAGTTGGCACCTTTCTGAATTACAATTATGAAT